ATGCTTTGGACTGTGTGTCGAGAGTATTTGGCGGGAAACTGCGCGTTTCCGGATGTTAGCCTGCGAGGTCAGATTGGGTGTGGAAACCGCGAGTGTTCGTGTGTGCGCCTGTGGGCGACGAGTTGGTCAGGAAACTGCGGGTTTCCCGATGTTGGCCTGTGGGCGAAGAGTTGGCAGGAAACTACGGGTTTCCTGACCTTGGCCTGTGGGCGAAGACTTGGTCAGGAAACTGCGGGTTTCCTGACCCTGGCCTGTGGTTGAAGAGTTGGTCAGGAAACTACGGGTTTCCTGACCTTGGCCTGTGGTTGAAGAGCTGGTCGGGAAACTGCGGGTTTCCCTGTGGCCGAAGAGTTGCTCAGGAAACTGCAGGTTTCCTCGCGTGGGCTTGTGGGGGGAGAGTTGGTCCGGAACCCATTATTTAGGGCCCGCACTTGATCAACGGGGGCGAGGAGGGGGGGTTTATTGTTTAGAGGTGGACATTACACCTGATGGCACAGCGTCCAAGGTTTGACAGAAAGGAGGCCAAGCTTCTTTCGAGGCACACAAACAAACACACAAAAGCGCAAAACACATACGATCAGAAAAACAAGCAAGCCAACAAAACACAACAAACATCACCGAGCAAATCAAAAAAGCAAACAACAAACAAGCAAACAAAAGCAACAAAGCAACAAACAAACAAACAAACAAACAAACAAGCCACGCAAAGCAACCAAGAAAACACCCAAACACCACAAACACAACAACTCCCACAACAAAACAACAACCAAAAAGCAACAAACAACTACAACACAAAAACCCAACTGTGCAAACTGCACTCTGAACTGTGCAATTTGCACTGTTCAAGTAAGTTTGAGCTCCAAAAACCAACTGTGCAATTTGCACTCTGGAGAGTGCAAATTGCACAGTTGTAGCCCGGACTAAATGATCATTTACTCTCCGAAAATTTAGTCGGGATCCGGACTAAATGATCATTTACTCTTTAGTCCCCGGACTAAATCCTTAAAAGAGTAAATTTAGACTCAAGTGATCTATCAGGAAATCCAGTATGTGCAGCAGCAATTAAAAGAACATTTGACAACAACTGTGCTGAACTTTTTTAACCGGAATTATGTTCCATGCACTGTTGAGTATCTAAAGGGGATCGTGTCGCGGTATGTCTAAACAGTACACTGTGAAGTCGAGGCTGCAAATCTAAGTCGAACTTAAGCAAAGTAAGTCTTGGACGCATAGGGTGGCACCTCTCACAGGAAAGGTACCGAGGATCTACACTTAGAAAAAAGACCTGCTTTCGTCCATCCCCGTGTGCGTAACGGGGTGACCTTGGACCCCCCGTTCTATAGCTATACAAGTGGGGACGCGGAGTTTCGGTGCTACAACCTGCCAGGACCTGTAAAATTACTTTACTTCGAGTGATCCCCACCATGACATGTCAAAACAGCTTGTTGACTCCACTTTTGTCTGAAGCTCTTGTCACGCGACTTTGGCGTAACTAACTATCCCGAGCATTTGGACCATAGCTGTGATACACAACTGAAACCATATTCATGCATTTTTGAAAGACTCACCATCACGCAGGGGGTCTGACATTCTAGCTGGCATAGCTTTTGACATTCTATCTGGCATGGCTTTTGAGAGGGGCGTCGCGGCGTTGGGGTCTGGCAGAAACACTGGGCATGGATGATCGTGGTGGAGGTCCGGCAGCGAACACTGGGCGTGGATGGTCGTGGTTGACGTCCGGCAGGGAACACTGGGCGTGGATGGTCGTAGTTGAGGTCCGGCAGGGCACACTGGGCGTGGATGGTCGTGATTGCGGTCCGGCAGAGAACACTGGCCGTGGATGGTCGTGGTTGAGGTCTGGCAGGGAACACTGGGCGGGCATGGTCGTGGTTGAGGTCCACCGGGGAACACTGGCCGTGGATGGTCGTGGTTGAGGGCCGGCGAGGAGGAGAAGAAGGAGGAGGAGGAGGAGGAGAAGGAGAAGTCAGCTAGCATAAAAGCGAACAACCCTCACCTGGGAAAAAACCCAATAATAACAAAATGAAGGTATCTCTAGGGATGACAGCCATGTGGAATCTGTTTCAAGTCAAGCTGAAGGAGAGGGGGCGAGGGGTAGGGAGGGCAGAGGGATGCGGACGGGAGACAGAGGCGGCAGGACGGAGAGGAGAGCGGACGGGGAGGCAGCGACTCACCAAGGTCCCTCTGCCTCCCTCTTCCTCTCTTTCCCCTTTCCTTCCTACCGTTTACTTCCGGTCTCTTTCCTCTCTCTCCCGCTCTCTCCTTCTCGAGAGAGGTGAGAGAGCAAGAGAGAGAGAGAGAGAGAGAGAGAGAGAGCGCGAAGGAAAAGAACAGGATAGGAGGGTGCATAGTCCTGGGATAGGCCTATGGGTGGCGCTAGGCATAGGCCTAGGATAGGCCTAGGATAGCCTAGGCATAGGCCTAGGATAAGCCTATGGCTAGCTTAGGCATAGGCCCAGGATAGGCCTATGGCTACCCTAGGCATAGGCCTAGGATAGGCCTATGGATAGCCTAGGCATAGGCCCAGGATAGGCCTATGGCTGCCCTAGGCATAGGCATAGGATAGGCCTATGGATAGCGCTAGGCATAGGCCTAGGATAGGCCTATGGATAGCCTAGGCATAGGCCTATCCTAGACCTATGGCTAGCCTAGGCATAGGCCTATGATAGGCCTATGGGTAGCGCTAGGCTAGCTCCCTGGGCCCCTGGGATAGGGGCTACCCTGGCTCGAGTATAGGGGTAGCTGTGGGAGTTCTGTATGATGTTGGCTCAGATGCATACCTTAAAAATGTAATATTATATACAATTTTCAGGTGCGCCCTCGGCCTACTTTAAAAATGCAATATTACGTTTTTAAGGTCAACACCATAGGAAAATGTAAGTTACACATTAAGAGGTCCCCCCCGGTTTTGAGGGTTGGGGGGGGGTGATAGTTGAAGGGTATGCCATGCAGTGCATGGAGCTTTGACCCATGGGAGGGTGTGAACAAAAGCCGCCCATACACAAAACCAAAGCAACATGTTGATCGGAATCTTAGCAAAATAAATAGAACAACGAGAAACCGGCTTCGGCTAGTAATTAGTCAAAGCTTGGTCAGAAACTCGGGTGATTGACTTCTCCTCTCAATACAGTACCTATACCCGACCCACGAAGTACTGACCCCGAATGTACCCTCTGCCCCATTCCCCTCAACTCGACCATCACTATAGTTTGCTATTTTCTTTGAAAAAGAAAACATGGAAAAAAACACGCACACACACACACACTTAGTCATAGGGTTTGCAGTTTCCATAATCACCACAAAGGAATGGCACAACGGAAAGGTGGCTGAGTCAGAGGACTTGAAGGTTTTGAACAAAAGTTAACGCGCGACTGCAGAAAACTAGCTACTGAATACTTAGCAGACCAAGGAAAGGAAAAAGTGAACCGAAAGGCGAAAAGTCAGAGTACTTGAAGATGTTTGAACAAAGGTTAACGCGTGACTGCAGAAAACTAGTTACTGATTACTTAGCAGACCAAGGAAAGGCGAAAAGTCAGAGTACTTGAAGATGTTGGAACAAAGGTTAACGACTGCACAAAACTAGTTACTGATTACTTTGCAGCGTGCAAGGAAACCTGTTTTGGGGGATATCATGCGAAGAACCACCACGGAAACAAACCAGGAAAAGTGGAGTCACAGCGTGGACAAAAGTTTCGCAGGTACGTTTGCAGCCCTCCCCAGTGGCCTCTTTGTTGGCCATCTGCCGCTGGGGAGGGGGATGGCCCCCAGCGAGAACTTGGGAAAAATTGGTGGACAGGACAAGCTCCTAGAGACGGAGGGTGACACACACGCGCTGCCGCTTCGCGGCGCTCCCTCGCACAACCTCAATAGTCACCTAAAAAGCATTAGAAACGAAGGAAAGAAAGACAGAAAGAGCAAAAGGAAAAGGGCAAGAAGGAAAGATAGGAGTAGCGAAAATGTTGACTACTTAGCACTTGAATACTTAGCCCTTGACTGAAAAGGCCTCGTTACAAACCTAAAAAGCCTCTAGCGGAAAGGCAGACCTAGAAAGAGAAACGAACAGGCAAAAGAGAAAGAACCTAACAAACCCGAGGGGCAGGGAAACGAGCCTCAAGAACCACCTAACGAGCCTGAAAGAAAACCTAAAACACGAAGAAAGCGCAAGAGAGAAAGCAGCGGGGGTTGTATGTACATGTGTGTGGGTGCATGTGTGTGTAAGCCGTAAGCCCGGAGGCGTGAAATTCCGTAGCTCGGCAGCTTTGCGATCGGTTGATTCATGGGTGAGACAAAGAATCAAGCCAGAATCCACGATGGCAGCACTTCGAATCAGAAAGGACCACACTGTGTACCCAGTGGGAAGACACAGCGATACACACTTAGTCATAGGGTTTGCAGTTTCCATAATCCCCAGAAAGGAATGGCACAACGGAAAGGTGGCTGAGTCAAAGGACTTGAAGGTGTTTAGTGTTTGAACAAAAGTTAACGCGTGACTGCAGAAAACTAGTTACTGAATACTTAGCAGACCAAGGAAAGGAAAGAGTGAACCGAAAGGCGAAAGTCAGAGTACTTGAAGATGTTGGAACAAAGGTTAACGACTGCACAAAACTAGTTACTGATTACTTTGCAGCGTGCAGGGAAACCTGTTTTGGCGGATATCATGCGAAGAACCACCATGGAAACAAACCAGGAGAAGTGGAGTCACAGCGTGGGCAAAAGTTTCGCAGGTACGTTTGCAGCCCTCCCCAGTGGCCTCTTCGTTGGCCATCTGCCGCTGGGGAGGGGGATGGCCCCCAGCGAGAACTTGGGAAAATTGGTGGACAGGACAAGCTCCTAGAGACGGAGGGTGGCACACACACACACACACATTTCCCCCCACATGGGTAGGGCTTAACGACCCAACTCAAAGTGGTCCCGCGTTTCGCAACGCGCGTAGTTTAGCGGCGCCGCCCCAGTCGCCGACCGGTCGCCGGTCGCCGAGGGTCTGCTCCACCCGCCCCAGAGAAGGGCGCCCGTGGTGGTCTGCGTCAAGGTGGAGCCCCAGCGAGCAGTTGGCCAGGGCTCTTTGGTGTCGATGGAGGTGAAGTGGACCTCACAACGCATCTTTAAAGCGAAATGAGAAAGACTGGATTCAAATCAATGTCATATAGTTTGCGCCATATGCTTAAATTAGCTTGTGGTCACACTTCTGAGTTCTTCCTTCCTTCCCTTCCTTAGAAGTATGTCCAGGGGCACACCCCACTGGCCCACTGGCGGGGTGAAACTAAATATTTTTGTATGGTCTTTGTGGCATTTTGTGACTTCGTGATGATTAAAAAAGATGTAAAAAAGAAGGATTCACACAAAAGATGTCCAAAATCCCATGCAATGAAGCGTACCGCAAATGGAACTGGGACCAAGCTGCCTTGTTCGTCGTTCTCGCCAGGACAAGGCTCCCTTTTCCAAGCATCCAGTCAACAGTAGCATAACTACACTGTCAAAACGTGTCAAAACCATTCCAAATGGGTCGGTCTATATGTATATATTTATATATATATAATATATGCCAAGGGCCCCTCCAAACACCGCCTAAGGGCCCCACACTACTGCCATGCTCATTCGGCAAGTCCACCAAGCACAACGTTCGTGAGGGCTCCCAGCTGCCCGCCACACGTCGGGACGTGTTGCCTCCAAAGAGGATCACCTTCTCGCTCCTCGCACGTCCGATTCATGCGGAGGTCAAAGGAGAAAGCGGACCAAGCACCCCACGGTCAAGAGCAAGTGGAACAAATGCAAACTCAACCAAACAAGCCGCCCCATATATAATAAGTTTAATTGTATTATAGTTATATTGTGATACTAGTATATTGTGATATGGGAGATTAGTTTCACCACCCATTATGTGGGCAACGATCCCACTGTCAGCACCGATGCTAGTTCACTCTCCCGTTTGCCGCTCGGCTCCGTGCAGTGGCCCCACACAGCGCTAAGGACTGCCGTTGTGAGGGCACTGCGCCGGCGGTCGGCACCTCTGACCACTGGCCGCGGTCTGCAACGGTCATGGCCTTTTTCGGGTCCACGAGGCGCTGCGAGGCCGTCCGGTCGATCTCTACCAGTAGACCCTCCGAAGCCTCGAAGATGGTGAATTTTGACAACAGGTGTATTTTAGTACTTGGAGTGTCCTGGTATCTCTATCTCAGCTATCTCTATCGATCTGCAGCGTTGCACATTTAGTGCCAACAATGGAAGTGGAACCGAGTGTAACATAATTGGCCTTTCAATCTTGCTGCTATTGGCCTAGAGTCAGCGTGGCCGAGAAAATCAGGCACTCAACAGCTACAGTCGGATTTGTGAGATCAAGCTGAGGTTCAGAACCAGCATGGAACCAGGGTGTTCAACATCTTGAGAGGACTCTTAAAAGGTTATATTAAGCAATCCAGTTTCATCATCTTTCATTTCTGGGAAAAAAAAACTCCCTCCACCCAAAGAAGGGGCCAATCCCCCATAGCCGCCACGCCTTGGCGATGTCTCTCCAGTCACACTTCGGGCGGCGTGCACGCGCCACACGCCCACAGCGCCCCCACCTCTGTTTGGAAGGACCAGAAGTGTCACGGGTCACAAGGTATACAGGACCCTCTTCTTGCGCTTGGCTGGGCTGGGCTTGGGTATCAAATGGCTTTGCTCTAAACAGTGCCCTACACGGACTTCTTCACTCTGTACGGGCCGAAACGTTTGGGCAATTGGACCTGAGCGGAGCGGACGCTTGTTAGCTCCCAAGTTGCCAAGATTTTTTGTTTCATTGGCAATCCAGAACCACCTTGCGCTTGGGGAAAACTCTTCAATACATTTCAATATACCTTTTCAATAGATACCCTGAAAAGGGATTGCCATGAGCGAGTTGAAGGAAAGAATCATGCACACTGTACACAAAATTGCACTACCTGACAGATCCTACCGGTCCTACCCCAAACACTCCATATATTGCGTATTTGCCTATTTTAGGGTGGTTTGTGGGTCAATGTAGGCATACTATACATGGTTTGCCTGGGTACCGTTTACAAAACGGTGTTTTTTGTGTACGAGTTCTTCCACCACCCCTCACAATGAACGATTTTGCGAGAAACACACGCGGAACAGAACTGCTCGTGGTCGACCCTTTGATGAAAAATAATGGCATCAAACGGGCAAAAGTAGGAAGATGATGCAAACTTGTGATTGCGCATATGGTTGGCTTCATGAACCCGGAAAGACTTCAAGAGACTGCAACCTCTTGAAGTCTTCACCATTTTCAGGGTCAATTGGTGGCTGGTTTCACGGCACGGCTGCACCCTCTTGGACTTCCCTCCGTGCTCAAGCGGCTCAAAGTCACTCCCCACATGTCCCGGGCTTGGCATTGATCTGCACCGCGCCAACGGCTGAAATGCTGCAGCATCGCCTGTCGCCCCCGACACAAAACCAGGGATTCCGCGTCGAGCGGAAAGAAACCACCACCGAGGAGCCACCACTGAGGTAGGGTGGCATATATTGAGTTGTTGAATGGCTGCATGAAAGGAGATCACTAAAAACCAGTTGGAAGAAAAAGAACAAACTGTGCGTTGGTCCGTTGGAGGCCCTCCCATACAAGGACACACACCCACATACCCACATATGCATGATCTGATTAGTCCCGAGTACCTGTCGGAGACCGCTAATACTATATAAATTATAGTGTTATCTTTTAGATTTGTCGTTCAATCGTGTTGAAATTGCTAACATCATTGATCTACTACTAAACTACGTACAACGGTAGGCGCGTTTATCCGCAGTGGACGCCGACTCCGCGGGGGAGCAGAATTGGCGATGGGGGATATAACGTTGGGCTAAGTAAGGCGCCAGCCGCTAACCCCCTAAATCCAGCGACGCCCTATTGACGGCATAGCCAAGCTAGCTTGCTATTTATGGTGTTCAGTGGCAGGCAGCAGGGGCAAAGAGGTGAGACTTGTTGTTGTTGTTGTAGTGGTGGTGGCCGTGGCTGTGGCTGTTGTTGTGGTTGTTGCTGGTTTGGTTGTTGTTGGTGCTGTTGTGGTTGATGTTGTTGTTGTTCTGGTTGTTGCTTTGGCCAGAAACAAAGCCAGAAGCAGAACATGTGAATAATGCAAGGCAACCACCCACACCTTGCGGCCATCTTGAAGGAACGTGGATACCCTCACAAGCATGTAAAAATCGCAATTTTTTGCACAGCATGATTGGCAACAAATTGCAGAAACACCGCGCTTTTCAATTTTTTGGCTCCTTCGTTTTCGCCCTGGTGCACCTCCAAAGGACCTTCCGACGTGGCGCGTCCTGACCCGATCCCTAGGTGCTGCCGCCGGCCCTTCTGTTTGGGCCTTTGGACCGCGTCTGTCTCTCAAAATTGCTTGCATCATCAAAGGCTCCTAGTGGCGTCCTTGCTCCTAGTAAGGCCAGGAGCCCCTAGTAGCATTGCTTGCATCATCAAAGGCCAATATCAGCATTGGCCTCATAAGCCATGAGGATGTTCGTTTTGGAGCGATTCTAAATCAAAGTTTGCGACGGTAAGAAAACAAGAAAACCTCACAAAGAACACTGAGGCTCAAAACTAAGTAATTATTGATGTCTTTGATCGTTTGTGGTTCCAAGCATCGAAAAACGCATACAAACACCATTGCATTTTGCACCCCGTAAACAATTGCAACTGTTTGCTTGTTGATACCGATGATTAAAAACACATCGACACTTACAGCGGTTTTGGGTCCCCAACACCCCCCACCTCCCCCAAAAAAAGACATGCGTTTGCAAGGAGTTTCATGCAGTTTCATGGCCGGCGCGTGCACGCGGCCAAAAGCATGCTGTAGAAGGGGGGCCTTTTGACCCGCAAGGCAACAAGACCAATGACCAACAACAACAACAACAACAACAACAACGACAACCCTTATGGTTTCGCCGGTTTGCGAAGCTCTGCAATATTGTTTGTTACCTGTTCTCCACGCAGTGTACCTGGACTGCCTGCAGCTCTGCCTCGCTCTGGCTCACGGCTGACTCGGCTTTCTGACTGCTTGAACGAACCTGTCTCACTCTCCTGGGCCTGTCTGGCTGCTCTGCTGACTGCCAAAGCTTCGTGTTTGGCTCTCGATGACTCCCACTGACCGAAACCCTGCTCCCTGAATGGATCGTATTTTTGATGTATGTTGGATACCCCCATCGATCGGAAAAAAAGAAAGACGCCAGCGTTTTTTGAAGTTTATATAGGTGTTGTTACTTTGATAGGAAGAATGGATTGTATTTGATTGGCTTGATTGACCCAACAAAACAGGAGATGAATCCTGTTGTGGACCGGGGCATGCTTGACTTCCATGTCGCCAAGGATGTCCGATCTCCGAGGGCCGTATCCACGTTCCAACCAAGCTCCAAACGCTGGACCACTTCTCTCCGTCCTCACCTGCCTTGCAAGGCAGCTGAAGCAAGGCTCTGGCAACAAGGCAGCACATGGGCGAGCGACGTACCCAAGGACTCGAGCACGGGTGCCAGGACCTCTTGAGGTATGCTGCCGCTCGCCATTGGAAGAACCGGCCACGGCCCGGCGCGGACGAAAAAAGCATTCCCGAAAGCGGAGCACAACTCTTGGCGGCCACGAAGGTATTCAACTGGCGACTCGGATTTGACAAGTCCCACAGTAACACTCAGAATCTGGGATTCCCGAGCTCTCTAATTTTGGGCCGGCCAGGTGCCATACTCTGTCAGTATTCAGGTGCTTTGGATGCAGCAAGCCTGGACCAAGCCCTATTAGCCACTCGCGGGCAACCAGCTTTGAGCTGCCCGGCTGCGAAGAACGGTCGAACTCAGATGGAATCCGTCGAACCCACGGTCCATGACGCTCTTTGAACCCGGTTTCGGAAGCGGGACGAAAGGCCACATGATGGAAGTCTCATGAAGTCTCAACGGCCTAACCATGAAGAACTATAAATCTAATCCACTGCAAAGTAGATCCTTTCCATTGTCCAACTGGCTCTTAGTGTCTTGCTGAGTTTGGAGGACTTTTGATTGTTGAATCGAAGATTGAAAATAGGGGTTGGGAGTCCGAGCACAAAACCAACAGCCGAATGTGGAGATCTTTTTTCTTCGCGACCCCTCCGCGATGCTTAGTCATCCATCATTTGTAGATGTTTGGATCTAGGCAAGTGATGCCCGTAGCTGAAACCTTAGATCAAGCTCAAACTCTGTTCGAGTTCAGTGTCAAGGTGTCAAGGTTGGGCACAAGTTCAAATTGTTCTCCTTGCATTTTCTTTGCTGCTTTTTGCAAGGTTTATGTTCACGATAAGACACCAAAATATCCCACCAAGTAGCCTGTCACGCGCACGGGATGCTATCTCGCGGCGTTCTTCCTTGCTCTTGCCCTGCGCACGCGCAGCCTTCCAGGCAATCGAATACACCTTGGACAATATTCATGCCAAGTTGTATATAACTAAAGTTCAACAGGCACCGGAGAATGCAAGGATCCTGAGTAATTAAATTACCAAATAAGTCCATGTTTGCTAGCGAGTTGCACTGTGGAGCTTCTTTTCTTCTGCCGACTTGTCTTTCTTCTTTGCTGCAGAAGTTGAACCCTTTGCCTTCGATGCCCTTTTTGGCGAAGCGCGTTTCTTCTTTGCCTGCGCTTTTGCCTTCGCCTTCGCTGTCGCCTTTGCCTTGGCTTTGCCTTTTGGGGCAGCCTTGCCCTTGGGCGCTGCCTTTGGTCGGCTCTTAGGCTTTGGTGTGGCTCCAAGAGTAGGAGAGGCTTGAGGCAGCGGTTCATCCAACTCGCTGGAGCTTGGCAGCGGTGGCTCACCAGAGCTTGGCTCATCACAGTCCTTGGCTCACCAGAGCTTGAGACGCGAGACCGACTACCAAGTTGCCATCTAGCATGTCTAGCATCAGCACCATGACAATACAAATCAATGAACAGGGCAGGAAGCAGGGGGTGGCGTGTCTTGAGCATCTTCCAAAATGCCGTCCTTACACAAGAACAGAAACAGAACTCCGATCTTTGGTTTCAGAAATCTGATATTTGGTTTTAACGATAAACAGTTTGGACTTGCGATGCTTTAATGCTTCAACCACTTGCCTCAAGGTCCGTCGGAGTGTCATCATATGCCCAAGGGGCAGCTGAATCCAGCGTCTCAATAACCTCAAGGGAGAAGCAAAGGTACAATGATAGGACAAGCAAGCAGCAACGCAATAATATATATGTAGTAATATAATAATAATTGAATATAATATAAACATATGCAGTAATATTGTTGTGTCCATATTGCAACTTTTGTATGTTACATCATACACCGATATAGAATCTGTTGATTCTATATCGGGGTATACAACATACATCTATCTTGCAGTGCATCTTTCCCACTTGAACTTGCCCACTTGAGCCGTGCCTCATCTTCCTCAAAGAGGCCAGCCAAGTCGTTGTCGGCGTTCGATCGGCGCAATTCCTTGGTTGGGTATGGGATCAGGCTGAATGATTGAAGAAGTTAACTTTGAACACACAAGTTTGATTTCGATAAAATGTTCTGCAATAACATTCAATTCAAAGTTGCAGGCTTGCTTTCTGCACTGCTTAAGCCAAGCTGGTTGTCAGGGCTGTGCCGAACCGGGGTGTCGATCATGGTTTCTGGGGTGTCTCCCACCAGCATAGGTTCCAAATGGTGAGGAACATCATAAACCTGCGACCTCGGCAAAAGGAGATTATGGTATTATGAAAACATATGTTTGTGTTTTTTTGTTTTCGCTGGTTTCCATTCTCTTTCCTTTTCATACTTTTTTACTTGTTTTGACTCAAACTGATGCCAGCTAGGCTGCATGAAAGGCTCACCCACAGGAGTGAACATCTCAGACATCTCAGGGGTAGGTTTGGTTTCAGGGCTATGGGCACCAAGCCCTGATGGTTCTTCAACAGAATCACCATGCATGGTTGTTGGAGCAGCTGCACCACCAGCAAGTTCATGACCGCAAACACCCTCACGTTCTGCCAGCATTGCGTTTAGGCCATCAATTTCCCTGCCAGGGTTCAAGAAAGCGTTGGCCATTGTGAAAGTGTAAGCCAATAAATAACGGACAGACCCGGGCCAGTGCCTCAAAAGTTCTTTCTCCTCCTCAGACTTGGTCGGGGCATCTTCAATCATGTGGGAAAAGGGCAATGCCTGCAAATCATGGCGGCAAAACCACCAGGAATAAAATGGAACAAAACAAAACTCAAAGCGTTGACAGCACCTCCCTCTTCGTTGATGGCTTCTTCATTCGATTGCCTCCCCTGTCAAGTTCTGTTTTTGTGTGATTGTGCTTCACCGTGGCAATGTTGACCAGTTGAATGATTGTTTAAACAGAGAAGTTGCCTCGTAGCTGGCTTTTTTGTTGCAGCGTCCTTTTTCGCCTTTCCACTGCCAAGAACCTCATCCAACCCTTGAAGTCCAAACGTGCCATCGTCCTCGTCGTTTTCATCATCATCTTCTTCCGAATCCAGAGGGTTGTGATCCGCATCCGGTTCATCGTCATCATCATCTTTTTTGGACTTGCGAGGCTTCTTCCCTTTGGCTTTGCCCTTCTTATTCGTTTCCTTCTGTGCATTTTCACCTTTCTCCCCTGGCCTCTTCTTTGATGAAGGATTCTCTGTAGCGCCCCCAGGTGATGATTCTGAGGAATCCGTAACTCTTGGGGGGAGGACGGCCTTTGCTGATGGTGGTGTCGTGCCTCAGCAAAGGGAGGCTCATAGAAAGCACAATACAACAGACTGACTGAATCCATAGAAGTAAACCAAGCGTTACCAATTAGAAGTATGAGAGTGAAACTCATTAGGAAGTTTGTGGCAAGTAGCTCAATGCCTTCGCTGCAGGCACTTCGGATGGCCGTGAAGCTGAAGCTTTTGGCGCAGATGAAGACGCCAGAGCCTTTGCCTTAGCCTTTGGATTGGCCCGTGAAGCTCGTGAAACATCTTCATTCAGGAGGGCCTGCAGGTTGAAGGCCTCCAGTCATCAAAACGCTTTGTGGGGCGGAAGGTTTTGTTTTTGTAGTGGAGTTTCTTTTAAACACAAGACTGTTGTAGGCAAGAAGCTGGTGGTCTGAAGGCTGCTTTTGGAGTTACCACTTCAACATCGCTAGAATCCTCCATAGTACAGCTCAGCTGTCACAATCGTAATCCCGGGGCAAGCACGCAAGTTTGAGCCTTTGATCTACAAAGAAGTGTGCAAAGAACATATTGGCTGAAAGAACTCTTATTGACATTGACTCTTGCGCTGCACTCCACAAAACACCAATAAGGCTGTTGGCAGTTGTTTGCAAACCATATGTGGATAGGGCGGCTAGCAGATAATCTCCAAGAGCTTTTGCACCCTAAACTCATGCAGAAAACGTGTGGAATGGGTTGAACCATGTTGAACATGAGAAAAAAGGGGAATGTTTTGACCAAGCTCATGGTTGTCGGTGCAGCTTCATGCCTTCAAGGCAAAATCAGAGAGGTGCAAACCTCTGCATGCCCCCACAGCAGGTGACTGGCAGTCGTCCAATGAAGTACAAACTGTGAGATGCATTGATAACACTGTGATATAGTAACAGACCAAACCTCCCTTATGAAGTCCTATTATGGATGGGCTTTGACACAACTTTGACCAGTCACCTGCACCCCAGCACTGTGCCGGCGCATGATCCTTCCGGCTCACATCAGGCGTACATTGGATGTGTCGATCTCCAGGCCACCAGCAAGGCAACAAATCGGTCGGATCGGGGTGATTGTCTTGACCCCATCGGTGGTATCCAACCTGAGTGGAAACAATAACAGAAGAACGTTCACCAAAACGTGGTTCAAAGTACTTGAAGCTGTAGGTATTTGCAGGTGGTGGAGACTTCTAAATAGTTACAGTTCTCCAATAAAAGGCCCGGCCTGATTCGCCAGCCAATGATAAGCTTTGAGGTCCCCTTCAGCTTGCTCACATTCACGCGGCTGCCAAAGTTCTTGAATGTAGGATTGTTGTCTTTCTTTTTCTTGCCCTTGCGGCCTTTCTTGTTCTCTTCCTGATCCTTGCGCTCGTCGAGCAGGAAGCAAAGTGGCTTGTCACAGGTCCAAGTAGCTTGCTCTCCAGAAGACATGGTGTGTTGAAACACCTTCACATTCACCTGCTAGGGGTTGACACTTGAGAAACGGCAAACTTCTTTGTCAAACAACTGCTAGAGGGGCAGAACAATGCTTATTCAAAGCTGTCACCATGATATATCAGGGCCTCTCCCACGTCCTCTAGCTGCTGCAACATCTTTCGCAGCATCACTGGTCGATCGATCGATGGGCATTGTAATAAATGCTCTGGAAGGTCCTTGCGCTCAAGCACCACAATGGTGTCGAAGGAAGCCACAAACTTGAACCAGCGGCCACCTGCATCTTGCATCACTTCAGTCGCTTCCTTACTTGCCAGGTTGTTTTGGGTAGGGTCAACATCAGAAATCAACAGTACCAATAAAAGCGAATAAAAGCATATCTATTGCTCTCATTCTGCCAATAAGATTCACTTCCGGATCGCCACTCACCACTTCCAAAGGAAAACCTCAGTTGGAACATACCAGAGAACCGTCATAGTAAGTTAGACTTTCAAAGTCTTCCTGCTATCTAGAAGCATCTCCCGATGTGCAATGAAATTGTTTTTGCCCTTTGCCGCCAAATATATGGCCGATCCATCACCGGATGTCAGCAATTCCACTGTGTTGTTGATGTTGAACTTTTGCCTTATGGTCGAGCAATAAAGAGCTAACGAGCCGTAATAGTCATCAACGCGGGCAAAGATTCACTTTGAGCTTCACATGATGTGAAGACGTCAGTCCAAGACTCTGAGCTATTTCTCTGTCCCAGAACTAGAAAGAAAGGGAGAGGCAAGAAACAGCAGATCTTATCAGTCAGGGCACGGGTTCACAAGACTTGAGATTGTTTGCTCAGTGCAATTGTCTGCATCCTCAATTTTGATCTTCTTTGCAGGCAGCTCCTCACCATCATCGGTCCTGAAAGGCAGGGTAGAGGAGTTGGGTATAGTTGGGTTTTTATTCCTGCTTATAGTGACAGCCTTTGTGCGATGACTGTGACAGTCATCGCACAAACGCCGAACGTGGCTTTCAAAATTTGCATGGTGTGCACTTCAGACCCGAGTTGAAAGCTAGAAGTCCTTTGGGTGCCTTCTGGTTGCACAAATTCTCCACTCGGGTTGAACTTCTCGTTATGCTCTGTAATTATTTGGTTTGCCCTCTCAGAGGTCAGATCATCATCGAGCCACTTTTGCGCATACACTTGCAGCACTGCCAAATTTGACCCGATGGGGGCACAGACCTTGTAGCTCTTTTCCACTTGGGTGTCTGCCACAGTTTTGAGTGCTGACAGCACCGGTGCGAAGTCGGGGAAGCCTGTGAGCTTGATTGATCCACTTCTTGCTGCATGGTATATGTCATTTCCAATCCTGTTGGACAAGTCGTCGGCCACAACGTCGAGAACAACTGTTCCGCACAAAACTCGCAGGTTGGCTTCGGAATTCTCCTGGGAAGAGCGAGGGGTAGGGACTAGGTGAAGGTAAAGCGGGTAAAACAAGCCTGGAATCCAATCCAATATGTTTTCTTTTCAATTGGTCCTCAAGGGCTGCAAGACTTGGGAATCCGTCGTACCCCATAACATCGAGCAGAACGGCCGTTGATACGGAGCCGGGTAGCAATGCTTGCAGGGACTTCCTCAGGATGCTAGTCCCCGCTGCAACCTTGCAGGCGGTCTCAAAACGATCATCTGAATCTAAAACAGTTTGATGTTTGTTTTCACGTTTTGTTGCGCTTATAAGACTTGTGGTTTGGGGAACCATTGAGCCTAGCCCAGCTTAGCTCGAAACCAACAAGCATTTTCTGGAACAGCTTTAAGCGGACAAGCCCTCAAATGTTTTTGAACAGTCTGGCTGTTGATGGCCTGCTTCATTTCCTGCACATCTGTCAGTGCACGTCCCAGGTGTGGTAAGCCTTTCTTCGCTGGTGAGCCCTTGGAGGCCAGAAAATCACAGGTTTCAAGAAGCATTGACAACACCAAGTCTAATGGTAGTTCTAATGGTTTTACCAAGAAACTTCGGGCTTCCACATTTCCGCACGTGGGGCCATCCTCACGTCGTGCACCACCCCTGTTTTCCAAGCCTTCGAATTCCGGAACATGTTCACCTTCTCTTTCGAGGCAATCAAAAGCCCATGAAGGGTTCCATCTCTCCGTCCATAAACAGTGGCCTTGGGTGCATCACCAAATCAAATCGCAATGTGAGCGGAGCGGTGGCCCAACTGTCATGTGTTTGGATGTTTAACGTGTTTGAAGTGCCACGTGTTTGAAGGAATAAATGCAATTTAGTGACCCAAAGTTGAAGTCACGAAGTAGGCAATCCAATCACTACATTAATACTACCAAGCCACCTGGTCGAATACAAAGGTCAGTGGCCTGATGGACAGATTCAACTCCTTCATGGAGAGTGACTTCCTGAAAAAGGTAGCAAAGCTATGAAGAACTTTGAAAGAAACAGGGAATTTGACAGTTGAAATCACAAGGCCCAGGATACCATTCACAACCTGCCCGGCAGGAATTCCCAACTGTTTATTGAACCCAATTTCTCCAACTGATATCGGACATCGCGAACTTCAGCCTCCTCTACCTGGCCCTCGCTGTCGCATGATTTGTCGTCATCATCATCGTTGTCTTCTTCTTTCTTCTCCGTTTTCACTTTCTCATCATCTTCATCTTTTGCAATCTTGTCACCATCCCTCCTGGTCAGGGCTAGCGGCTAGGCATGAATTGCCCCAACATTAGACACAAAGAGTTGTACGGTAGTGGTTGGCAAAGAGTGACAAAGAAGTTAACTTGTTCATCAGAGGTGGCGTGCAGCAATCAAATTAGAATTGCAGTCCTTCAAAACCAACGACAACACGACGATGACATGTTTAACCCCAAGCTGCTCCCAGAAGTTGTTTGCGATGCGCGATTGGAGTGAACCAGCACTGCAACTCCATTCCTCTTGAACTTCTGGAGGACATTGGCCAGGTAGGTCACAACCCATTCACGTTTGTGGACCCCCAAGATCCCTGCAGTGGGCAAGTTCACCCACACCACAACAGCATGGTCGTCGGGTTCCCGAACCTCCGCCATTTCCTGAAGGGAGGTCTCCACCCAATCTGTCAGCATGGGCATGACCTGTGTGACAGCGTCGCTGGCCTTTCCTGCAAAGATCTTCAAAGTCGTCGACATATAGTCTTGAACGGCTTGCCAAGCTTTTGTATGCTGGTCCTACAGGTTGATCGATTTCTGATTTTATATTTTCTCAAGCAGAATGGGGGAGGACGCTCAATCATGACAATATATCACAATGTAAGCATAACAAATCCTCCAATTGCCGAAGAAGCTTTGCTCGTTGCTTGGCTTGTGATTTCTCTTGCCTCAGGCAGTGGCTAGAAGGCTAGAACACCTCGCTTGCTCACATGATGATTCAGGCGCCCGCTTTTCAGAGATTGGCTGGGCAGGGCGTGGCATTTGATTGTTACTTAACTGTTGAAGCGTATCAGTTTGTCGCTTTACATTCTGGATAGCCTGGTAGCTGGTGTGGGGGGGGCCAAGGGGAAATGGAAGAACCATGAAATGGTTGAAGGGACCAAATCTACTTAGTTGTCAACAGTTCCTGGTTCTATGTGCAAGCAGGTTGCAGAATCTGCACCTGCTCAAACTGAATTTGATCATGCTGTAGTTGTTCATGCCACGCTGCAAAGGCTGCTTGGAGGGACTTGCTCAGTGCGCTCCGCTGGCGATCTTGAGCCTCATTGATGAAGCTCTCCATGGTGGATCCCCGAACCTCAAGAACAATGCAAAACCACATTTTGTGTTCCATGCAACTCCCACACACACACACAAGTAAACACAACGAGCTTCGGGGGAGCTTACAGTGTTGATGTGTTTGTCTTCGGAGTCTTGTAGTTTTGTTGACCCAGGCCTCGAGGATGAAATTGATCCTCTTCCAATCAGAATCTTCATCCGCTGCCTTCATCACTGTCTGCAAGTCACCATCCAGCGACCTTGCTGTGGTTTCAAAGTATTCAGAAAAGAACCACATTAGCAGTAACTATGGGTCCCTTTCCAGTAAATCTGTGTTTTTTTTATCGGACTCAAAAAATCAACAAAATCAATCAAACTCGGGACATGGTTTCCATGCTTCTCGGAGTGATCGGGTTTCTGGAAAACCAATCACTATTTTATATTAGAACTAGGAACCAATCACAGGACCTATCTTCCAAACAACATTCCAGAGTGATTGAATATTTTTTGGGATATGAAATTGCGATCGGGTTTCTGGAAACCCAATCACATTCAGGTCACAGAAACTGACATCCCAAAGTGATTTGTTTTTTGGGGTTTGGCGGATGCCAACCCACAAGTCGAGAATGCGATCGGGTTTCTGGAAACTCAATCACATCGCCTCGGCCACAGCCAAACGGCTGTAGCCAAATGTGTTGTGGAAGATGTGACGGGTTGTAACCAATAAGTGTCAATCAAAAAATCCAAGAAACCCCTTCATAAAGAGCTCATGGTGCTGCTCCACCACACTATCAGGGAACTCGGCCTTCATGAGCGGCAGCAGGTGCAGCCACAACGCGCACACATCGAAGAGGAGCTGATGTTGCTGCTCCGTGAGCTGTGCGTTTTTCTGGGCAAAAGGTGCAGGGAACACTGGAACACCTACTGACCCACTGAATATTTAAGGTTTGATCAAAGGTGTCCCCAGCCTTGGCTTTCGTAGTCGCATCACGCCCCACCAGTCTGGAGAAATCCTGCCCAGTTGAAACTGTTTTGGGAGAAGGTCGATTAAACCAAGCACGGTCCTGAATGGTTCTTGTGACCCACAGGATAGTTGTGTCATTGGTCACCTCGAGAATCTTGCGGAAGACAGGTTTGCAGGCGTACTGCGGCGAGTCCATACGCACTGTACTCCCTGGAATCCAAAAATCCAAAGCGAGAACATCGCTTGGCAGTCCTCCCAGGGTTTTTCCAATCCACCACTCAACACATATGCCTGACAAAACCCCAGTCCAGAGCTGGCATGACTATAAGCATCGTAATGCTGGTGGATGAGCTGGTGGACCTTCTCCGGCGCTCTCAGCCTAGGTATGGCAAAGTTAAAGAGGTGTAACAATAATACACATGTATGGACCATTTGTGCTGTTCCTCTTCAATCAAGCAACATGTTGTAGCACAGTGTTTTTTTCATCTGGTCGATGCGATGAGATTTCAGCGTGCAGATCTTGTTGTACTCTGCACAGCACCGATTCAGCAGGTCCTTTAATGCCAGTCGAGTACCACTCTTGGCTTGCCTCCTCTCCAAGTCGATGGCCATGCGCAAATCAGCCATAAATGTAATGGCACTTGGAGTTGTCTTCTCCGCCGTGGTGTGTCCAATTTCTTAGATAACCAACACACTGTCCGTGTACACCACATGTGTAAACTAATTGAAAACTTGATGAACCAACATCTAGCTTAGTTTCTCAGCGATTGGAGACAGAACATTGTTGGGTTCGGGTAGAACGTGAAGGAGCAACGCACCCACCGATAGGATTGCAGCATTGCCAGCACATCTGGGTCTTGCAGCTCCTTATCCTCTGTCCATTCCTTACGCATTGGTCAAACAAACAACTCCGGCCCAAACAAACTCCAAACAAACATACATAAATTATCCATATGTGCACTGTGCACCAAGCTTCCAGTTCGTATATGAAACATATCACTGCCACCATCAACAAGACTTTACACTGTCCATCAATGAATCCGATGGAAGAGGTAGCGATGCTCCGGTCTGATGAAGCATGAGGAAACTTGACCTCAACAACTTCACGGGGCACATATCCAGCCAGGAACTCACGGAAGAACTTCACGAATTGGCTGTTCTGTGGATAGACTCAGGGTTGCAAGCAATGGATGGAAAGAACCGCCTATCAACTCAACGTTGAATTAAACACATCTTAAATTCAATCTTAAAATACAATTTTGAGAACACCGGACAGCCATTCTTGGCATCAGGTCCAATGTCGAAGAGATGGAGCGGTAGCCAAAATTCTGTGAGCGTGTCTTGGGGAATCAAGCTCAAAGTAGGCCGATCTGTGGAAACAAAGCGGTCCGTAATCAAGTTCTTGACCACCTAAGTAGCAACACCGAACCGCATAACCAAGCTGAGTGAGTTGCCAAGTCTCAGACGTGCTCGAACAGTGACCGATCAGCAAAGATCGTGTTGATATGGGCGCCCAAATTTGTTCGGTCAATGACCTGGGCGCAGTGGTGGTTGTCCCGTCATATGTATGACTGTGGTGTGACCTACACTAAGCTTTGGGCAGTCTCAAAGTAGCTGCACAGTTGACCCAAAGGTTTCCCATGGCTGAGGTCCGGCATCGTCATGGCACCCCCCAAAAAAGTAGTCCACTCAGCAACACCTACTTTGTTGTCGTGCAAGATTATCAACGCTCTCCTTATGATCACATTCACACACCTACTCTGGACCTTCATGGCCAAAGAGAACACAACCCGATTTGCTGCACCGAATGCCACGCGTTGATCAGCATGTACTGTTCACTAAGGTTCAGGACTTCAGGAGCCTTGTTTTCCAACAAGTGCGAACTCTTCCCCATCAATCCCCTTGTCTGGGAATTACCCCTCGTTCGGGCACCTGCGGAAAGCAACTTTCAGCTTGTGGGGCCTTGGCTTTAGCGGTTCCTCACCAAGCCTTACCTCTCCATATCTGTGATCAGCTGTTGGCCCAGCATCAATAAATTGAAAGCGAGCTGGAGGATCTTTGTCCCACAGCTGGTCCACCAACTTTTGGTAGTAGACTCCTGTGCGAGCAAGATGCGGGTAGTCAGTCACAATCTGCTTCCCCAGGGTGTCAAGCTCTCCACGCCGCCCGTCATCAATGCTAGGTTGGATCGTTGGCAGCACGGAGTCAGGATTGCGGAGCCGTGACCAAAAGTGGGTAGTCGCCCCGTGAAGTCCGTGTGGGAAGACAAGTAGTGGTTCCTGACGCAGATAGTCATCCGCCATGCGCTGCTTGCAGAGAGCGAAGATGTCATTGACCTCACCACGATTGCGCAGCCTCACTGGGAGCCTTTCCTCTGTCGGCGTGAGATGACCAAGCCCAGGCATATCTGTCAAGGTTGGTTAAAGCTCTCATTGCACAACCTTTGGCTAAAAACAAGCCATTGACTGTTGGCAACTTATCATTGAATTGAATGGTAAGACTTCCAGCCTCTTCTTTTGATGAACGTGAACTGCTGAGGGACCTTTTGCTCTGGTTGTCCTGGCTGTTGCTTTCTGCCTTTATAGGCATTGTAAGTTTGGACACTGGACGGCATGAGCTTGACCCAATCAAATACCTGAGCACGGGTACAAACCGCCCAAATGGAAACCAGCAACAAGTCAGAAACATGTCAACTTTTTGGTGAGGGACCGAGGTGACTGTCTCGCAAACAAACTCCATGCCATGCTTCGCAAACAAGGGCGCAACGCGGTTTTCCAAGGCCCTGGAGGTGACCGCAAACTATCTCTGAAAACAAGCTGAGGCAAACAAAATGCAAGAAACCATAAAACAGTCCTTTGTATGTCCCGAGGCGTTTGCAAGTCGCTGCAGGCATTCAAAGCTGCGGTGACAACAGACAGGGCAGCATCTGCACGGAACATTTCATAGCATCTTGTTTGCATGTGACTTCAAGGATTCAAGGTTTCAATGCAACATGTCATTGACTGCGAGGTTTCAGGCCTATGTCCTCATGTGTGTGCCCGACTTCCAAATGTGCCCCTGTGCACTGGTTGAAGTAGCCTTCTTGACATAGAAGGCAAAACAGTTTGTGCATCGGGGCATTGCGGATCTCTTTGCATGCATTGTCACCTTGTTGCCAGTACCTGGTCAAGGAGAAAAAAGGAATCATAGCCACAACAGGTGGGCACTCAACTGCAATGTGAATTTTTGTCTGGGCGCTCTTGGGGAAAGCTTAGCCCTTGCCGTCGTGCAAATTGCCATGCGAGGTCAATGGATCTCATGGCCTCAAGCCATCCCAGCAGTACAAAAAAAACAAGAACAGTATTGTTTGCGCACAACACTGAGACAAGCGGCGACCTGTATGGCCCAATTGGCCCCTCCACAAGCCCCCTCATCTGCCAAGAAAAAGTAAATGCCATAGCCATGACAGATGCTGCATGTTAGCGTGAGCTGAGTGCCTTAGCTGCTCAAATCCAAAGGCAAACTGCCAGATGCTCACTCAAAGCATAGGCGCAACAAAACCAAATGCTTGCAAAACACGCTTCAAAGTGTCGTAGATCGAAGACTTAGGAGACCGTTTTCCGGGAAAGCGCGGCAAGACCAGTTTTGAGTGATCAAAAGTGTCAATGATATGACAGAGTATATCGCGCTCCGTCCGGCTTCTTGTGCGACAGAGCCAGTAAACCTGGCGGTCGCGCCACTGGGCCGCGTAGTGGTGGAGCAGCTGTGCTGATAGCTGCGCTTGTTGACTAAAGTCCTTGAGGTGTTCCACTCACATTTGGATTGAACACTTCTGCATTAAGTAACTGAGCAGTAATTGCTCACCTTCCCAATCAGTTTGACCGCTTTTGCAAAGTACAGATTAGTTCACCTACCAAGCCAAGATACAGTGGCATCCGCCAAGCGGGCCTTGATGGTTGAGCACGTAGTGCAAATCGAATGGACAGAAGGTTTGTGAAACCGTAAGCATACCTTCCACTTTCTTGCTACATCGTAGAACAAGGATCTCCCTGCAGTGCTTTCCAGACCACTGGATGATTCCACATAGGATCTGTACATTAAGTAAAGATTCGCCCAGTTTCCATGGGGTAATCTCTTCATTGGCAGCAGCTGTGGATTGCACTGGAAGGATAATTGTAGTGTAGGTCCTGTCAATTTGGCGTCGATGAGACGCTCCAGGAGATCCTGGCGAAGCTCCTTGTTCGAGGACTCCACCATAGTTTGCGGCGTGCCCCTTGGCGCAGGGACAAAACCCAGGGCGGGCCAGGATGGGCTATGTGTTTCCATTTCTTTTGCACAACTGTCTTGTTGAAGGTGAGGGGCAACTCAGCTACAGTTTCCCCAGCGCTGAAGTATATGTGAACAAAAAAAGCCTCTACAGAAGCTGCCTTCACGGATGGGCGTGACAATGGTCCTGATCAGGGCCCAGGCTCAAGAAATTTATAAACATCGTATTCCCATGTATGTTCAAAACCATTGAGTTTTATGGTCCTCCGGAACCATTGAGGCTACGAAGATCCTTGCCATGAAACTTCCGTTTGCATCGAGTAACACGTTGCTTTCCAATGCCCAGGAAGTACAGCCAGGACTCACGGCAGATGTGGTACCCACCCAATGTCCACTTCTTCCTCAATCCAGGGCCACCCTCCAACTGTATGGACCACAGTAAGGAATCCTGACACGGCTTTGATAGGGCCCAAAAAGCCTGGCAAAGCGCGACCAAGATCCTGAGGGGTAGGGTGCACTTGCACTTGCAAGGTGGATGCTTCAAGGCGTCCTTGCACCTGGACTTTGACATCCCGCTCTTCGCATAAGAGCTTTTAGTGGCAGGCCCATGGTCGTTTGCATGCAAAGATTGAAATCTTTGTAGCGACAATGCAATTTCTTGAACACATTCAGGATCATCGGAGCCATCCGAGTCATCCGAGGAAGAATAATCATCACCGTTGCTGTCATTGTTTTCACTGCTTGAGGATTGATCAGTCCTCAGACCAAAACAAAAGGATTTAGTTATATGTTTTTTGCATTGCACCATGGATGCAGGCCGAGCGCCCTTTGGAAGATTCGGAGCTGTCATCATAGCGCCAGGCGTGCTTCTCCACGGGACCCCGTTCCGACTCACTGCTGTCGCTGTCCCACCGGGCCAGGATTGGCATTTTGACAATAAATGCTACAACTAGACCTTTTTTTATGTTGGCAAGCGAAGCAAGCAATGCCCAAGTGTAAACGTTTCTTAACTGTTTTTCACAGATTTGTTTATTTTGTCATTTCTTGACCTTTTGCATGCTACCATAGCGAGGCAAGTCCTTTGAATTTGATCTATCGATCAAGATGAATTTAGAGATCTCCTGCCAGCATCATTTTGAGCTTCTCTGGAGACGTGCTTGCCAAAGCAGCGCAAAGTGCGGGCATGATGGCCCTCAGAGCCATAGCATTCCCACCGATCATATGTGATTCCTTAGTTGTGATGCAGTCCATGGAATTTCCAACAATCGTCGCGATGCAGTCCATGGACATAACCACTAAAGACAGGCTAAGTGTCACGGTTGGTGAGGAATGATGTATCATACCGATGCAGTGGAATCCCCATGAGCAGTAAGATGTCTTTGCCGACCAAGAACCGCTGTCGGCTTGTTGATAGGAAGGACCCATTGGGACTCAGCAACAACAAATTGTAAAGTAAAGAAGGACTTGGTTCTTTTTCTTTTGTGGATGCATGTCCAAACTAACTGAGATAAGGACGTAAGACACATGATGGGCTTGTTCTCATCGGCGATGGGCATTTGATTCACATTTTGGGATGTGTTTGCAACAAAGTCAGTGTCCCATCCATTTCCAATCTGTAGATCGAGGGCCTCCATCTCGCGGTAGGTGGTGACCAAGCGTGCTGCTTGCGGATACTTCCTTCGAAAGGAGCCCTTTGCAGCTCTCATGTTCACCTCACGGTTTTGTGTACATGCATGGCATTCAACTGATAGTAAGGCACACTCCAAGTGGCCTTGTGTTCTCTGGCCCATAAACGATGGCGTAGATACCATTTGGACTTCACATTGACTTTCCTAGATCCACTGAAATTTGAACGCTTTAAAAGCAGTGTGCAGTGTGCCAGTGCCAAGATTCTTTCGCGCAGCTTTCGCTCGACGCAGGATCCTTGCCTGCCTGTCCTTCAACACTTCTGAGTGAGAGTCGCTCAGGATCAAGTCTGGCCTTGGGGTTGACCATGAAAACTCAAGGACAACATAGACATAGACTCTAGAACCAAGACAAGTATTGTTGGAAGCGTTTCTTGCAACTGTGAGTCCAAGCGGTTTTCGGCCAGACGTGCATCTTGCGAAGAGTTTTCTTCATGAAATCATCCAAGGAAAGTCCTTTGGCCTCATCGTTCATGATGTCTTCACGGACCATAAAAATATAGATTCGCCTCCTGCTGATCGGAGCCCCATAGCGATACCTTATATAGTGGGCTTGTTTCTTTTCAGCATCGAACGAGCAAAGGGTTGAAATCATGTTGCTAATCTTAAATGCAGCGAGGTGGCGGGTTGATGATCACAAATGCAATGCGGTACCTGGATTAGCTTCGCTCTCAATTAAAGCAGCGAGATTATCTGGAACGATCAGTTGGTGTCCAAGGCGCCCCGGGCAATTGCGTTGAAGGAGACCATGGACAGTTTGATAGCATCGTTGGAATCCCATGACGTTCTCAAACAGACATACCTTGGGAGAGAAACTCTGCAGCAAACGGTGCAACGGTTGATAAAGGTTTCACGGTTGATAAAGGTTTCAACGGTGCAACGGTCGCAATCAAGGCTCCGCTGGTCTTGTTTTCGTCACATTGCTAATGACTTTGAAGAGCTGTTTTGCGTTACCATCTCGTAGAAGATTGGTACCGCAGTGTAGAAAGCTATACGGGGTACAAGGGAACCCTGCTGTGTAGCATAGCACCTGGGCATGCACAAAACAACTCTTAGACAAACGGGTTGGACACAAAACTTCACATGGCACCTGGTTCTTCATCCATCGGACGGGCTTGGAGAAGATGTTCTTCGACAACCTTAAGTTCACACGAGTGACCTAAGTTCCCAAAAAGGTTTTGGAGAAGACCGGTCCTTGAAGAAAGCTCGAATCCGCATCCCTTAGTACATGCTGTTGAGAGGCTGCTGGCAGGAAAAGTTCCGCCGCAAGAACTCATGGAGCGCCTTCTTGATCTCACTGGCCGACCTCAAAAGTATGCAAACGGAACAGTTCCAGGATATGTTTTTTGAAGCTGAAGGCTACAGCGGCCAAGGTACAAATGTCTCAACTGGTCCTTCCGGTTGGCAGCTTCAAAAAGCATTTCTAGTGCCATGTATGGAGTGTCCACACCACTGCCTCAGATCCAGGAAAGCATGATGACGGGTTGGATGGCATGGACATGCCATAATAGACTCAATAGACAAGTTGCAATCGGATGCAAAGTTGAAAGCTTCATCAAAGGCGGCAAACCACCACGAAAGGCCACTTCTCTCCAGAAACTGCTTTCCAATCTCCAAGTATTCTAGTTGGTGTGGCGAGAGCGGCTCATGATCGCCAGATTCAGAGGAACTTGTCAACTCTGATGACTCGCTCTCACTCTCAGACCATCGGCGCTTCATGGGTGAGATGCAGGTCTAAATCGTAGAACATGTAGTGACATTTCGTACGAGTCTAAAATTTAGTTTCTTAAATGTTGCATCATCTGAAATGGTCCAACTGAAGGCCTCTTCACTTGAGCCCTTGAGCCCTCCTCCCAAGAGCTGGTTCCATAGTGGACAAGACCTGGTTTGAACTGGATGAGATTTATAGATACTATGGCGGACTGACAGTTAGAATGTGTTTTTTTCTATATGCAGTTAGAATATGGTTTTACATAAAGCCTGGGGTAGGCCGGAGACCACATGCAGTTAGAATATAAAGACACAACGAACCGAATACAATAGTCATTGCTATTACTGTAGATTGGTTGGAGGCCATCGGTCTTAAGCTGGGCATCGGTCTAAAGCTGGAGGCCATCGCTCGCCATCGCTATTAGGGGGTTATCGCTATTAGGTTTGGAGGCCTAGCTTTGTCTCTGCAAGGTATCCTGGTTTTGGACTGGCAGTTGGAATATGTTCCCCTGCTTTCTGAAAGGCCCATATTCTATCTGCGAGGGTCATCCCCAGGGTCATCAATTTTGAAAGGTTTGGGGTATCCATTTAGAACGGAAATATTTGGATTTCGTATTCTAACTGTCTGTCCTATATTGTAGATATATATATAGAGAGAGAGGGAAAAAAAAACATCAAACATCATGTAGCATCATATATAACGAACGTGTCCCGGAACGTGTGCTGTTCAACGTGTGCTGTTCCATACAGTCTCCCCCCTGCAGCCGTTTTCATCTGCATTTCTTGGGCACCCGAGCGCTGCTCCCTTGCTCGGGCATGCTGGTCCCAAAGCCGAGCAACCCTGGAAACCGCCTGGTGACGCAACTGAGGGATCAAAAGAAGCAATGGGCTTCATGGCGAAGACACCAGGAGGGCTGTTGATGGATTTCCCTTTCTTTACACCCCTTTACGGTACCACACGTTTGTTTCGCAACTGCCTCTCCACTGCCCCTCTTCTGATCCTTTTCCCAGGTCTCCCACGTCTGGACCCGCCTTCTCCGGACGAGGCTTGGACCTCGCCGTCCGCTGGGACCCGAGTCGCCCGAAAACGAGTGTGCGGACTCGGGGGGGATCCGATTCTTGGTTCGGACTCCTTCATTTGAGCCATCAGCAGCTCACATTCAAAGGGCCACCGACCCTGCGACTCCGGTGATTGGAGCGGCCATGTATTTGAACGTCTTGAACGTCCTGCATTTTGCCAACCGCCAGTCATGCCCTATGCACTTTACATCAGCGCAATGGCATCCATGCTTCACGAGCTAAAAATGCCACTTGCGGCAGCGAATTCTAGGATTGCAGGCGGGTTCTGGCCGTTCAGGGAATGCAGTGTGTTGCAGGCTTAGTGTTGTACCACCCCCTCCAGGAGTGGACTAGACTGAAACTATCAGAGCAGTCTTTGACACGGCTTCCAAAGTGCTAGGTGCAAGGCTTTGGATGCGCAGGCTCGTGCCAAACTGCCCTCTGAACAAGCCACGGACATCATCTCACTGATGTGTGCATGATCCTGAGGATGTCTTTCAGGCTAGCCAAAGACCTCACACAATTACGCCTCGCATAACAGTTGTGCGGGTGCTAGGCATCTAGCTGGAAGACCTGTACAAACAAAAGCGATGGTGCTGGCTATACGTTGAGCAGCAACAGGCTATAGGTGAAATTTCTCAAAGCAGCGTCGAAACGATCATTGCAAATCAAAGCACCCCTCACCCCGCTGTAGCTCTCACAAACTGGGCATTACGTTTAACCTAATTGCCATCCTACCTTTGTTTCGACATGTTTCAACATTCAGCATGCTGCTGCCCCTGTGCAACACGCCAAGCCTGCACGATCCAGCATGCGCTTAAAACACCGTTTGGAGGAAGATTGAAAATAGTAAGGTTTCATCAGTTCTTTTGAACCACCTTTAGAACAATGAATCGTCATGACCTTGTATGACATGGCAAGGTCATATCCGGCACAACTCTTCAATCTTCAAACGTCTGGTGGCCCCACTGCTCCGGAGCTCACTCCATCATATCAGCACCGCCAGCGCCACCAACCCCACTGCCTGATCCGTTGCTGTCCTCACACGCCCGGGCGCGGCCTCAGCCACTGACTGCTGACGTGCTTTGCGACGCATGGCCTTGGCCAGCTCGCGATTGTGGCGCTTCTGCTTCTGCAGGGTTCCCGCGGGGCAAAGGTGGCAATGCTGGCACTCACGTCCCCGGGTACCTGAGGATGAACTGGACAGTGATGGAAAAACTCTGGATCGATTTAGCAGGTTGTGGACAGCTGAGCCGAGCCACAACAAAAATCAAATGATCTCATCTCAACATAATATCTCAAACAATCTCAAACATATGTTCTGTCAAAATGCAGCTCCCAGGTCGCCAAAACCAAGCACAAGGTTTGCAAAGGCCTTCTGCGTGACGTTGGGATCCAATCGACCACTTGGGAGTCTCATCCGCTCCGTCAGATCCACTGAACTCGATCATTGAGTCTCCCATGCTGCTGCAGGTGCTCAACCAGTCGAGGCTGCGGCCACCATCGCTCCAGTCGTTTTCTGTACAGGAAGCGCCGCAGGAAGCGCTAGGCACCACACTTGGTGGGACTTTCTCCAAGTCATCCTCAAATGTGGGACATCCACCAACGGCGTCTTTCAGCTCGGGGGCACTTGTACACCTTGAGATGCCCTTGACTGGGACGTATTCAAGGAAAGTGCACCTCTCAGCCAAGCGAAACTCCATGATTTCCTCATCAATGGCAGCCATTCCTTTCGGGCACATGGGGTCAGAAAGGAGGAGGTTCGCAAGAACAAACGGCCACTTTTGTGTGGTGCGGCTGCCGAATTGAGCCCGCAGCAGGAAGCCACCTGCTAAAGTTCAATTGAAAACACTATATGATTCATATATGTGATTCATGATGATTCATGACCCTAACACCAACTTCCAAGAAATACGAGTGATATCGATTGATACTGACTGCGGATGCTTGAGATTGCTTGAGGATATGGTCCCACACTTCAACGTGCAATCATGTCGCTTCGCATTCGGGTCGTTCAGTCCCTGACTTCTCCAATTTCGCGTGGTCACTCTGCTTCTCCTCGGTGGGCTGATGTGATGTGCTGCAAGGAAGCGTTCGGAGGGCCGTGTGGCTACAAATCGGTTGAGTTTGAGCCATTTTGGACTTGGTCCGAACATAGTTATCTAATCTAACCAACCCCATCCACCCCACATCCGGGCTTGCAGCTCACATGCATTTGATGACTCGGCTGGTCCGCTCTGATCAACAATCTCTGTACCAAGCTCGGATCCAGTTCACCCGGATTTCTCTCTCAGCATGCCGCAAGATCACCCTCAAGGTTCTCAGCATTGCCCTCCTGACAGCTGGGTCGCGTGCGAATCAATCCTGGAAGTCCTTCCAGCTTTTTCAGCTTCTTCCAGCAAACGCTGTCCAAGACATTTCTATCTACATGTATCACAAAGGGATAGGATTCACATTCTATCCATTTTGAATCATTTTGAGGTCTAGGTGCCCGGTGCCCCCTCCCTGCAAAATGTCACCAACATCGTCAAAGGAGTCCCGAAAAATCACGAAAATACGAACCCCTCGCGTCACCGCTGCCACGAAACGCTCGATCACCAGAAACGCACTGTGTCGGGGCACGCTGATGCCCCGAGTGATGAAGAACTTCAATGAGTCCGGACAACGCTGATGCCGCTTGTTACAGAAAAGCGAGTCATTCCCAAAGCCGGTCCTCCTCATAAACCTTTAAATTCGGGTTCATGCACCCTTGTGGGTCTGAATCTGCGTGAAACACCGGTAGATCAGGTAGGCAACCACCCAAACCAGGAGGGCCAAGTATCTTCAAATGGACCCCTGCAAGTTCCAGGCGCACCTGAAATTCAGTCATCGCTACGTGGATTGCATGGTCATGCATGGCTCCTGGGAAGACCATGAAATCCGAAGATTGGTATGAAGGCCATCGAACACTTCCCCGGTCAGCTCCTCCGGCTGATTCTGGGCTTCAGGCTCCTCGCACGGCTGAAGCCGTGGGGAGAGTAAAAGGGCACATAATCCATCATAATCTAAATGCAACAGATCGCCCTTCAACACCAACGACCTGCTGCGAAGCTTTTCTATACCCAACACTCCGTGTGTGGATGATTATAGACCCCTTGCAATGTATGTAAATAATTGTAAATAAATATTCCCATGGAGCGTCCAGGGCACATAAAACCGCAAGAGGCTTGTGGCCCGAACAGCCAAAAAGCCTTCGGCAGGTTTCTTCGATCGTTTTGGAAGCAAGGCGTTCAATACCTTTCAATATCTTTGAGGAGACCTGTCAACATCGAATTCAATGGCCTGCGGTCTAACTAAGTCCTGCTGAAATAGGACCGCACATACAGTAACAGGGTGGCTTTGCCAATATCTGCGCAGTGCGATGCCCTCGTCAGCACCGAACTCCGGCGAGGCACAAAAACTGGGGTGACGCACGTCACAGAAGAGCTTTCATCGGCCAGAGTTTCAGACGTATAATCCCGAGCCCCCCCAAGTCCCAAGCCCACAAAAAGAGGCATGTCGGTCACTCTTAAGTACGGGTTCCCTTTAGTTTGTTTTCTTCACTTGCCCCCATTATTCTAAGTGCACCCTGCCGGTCATTTGGCGGCACGTCCAGTCATTCATCCACCCAACGTCACGTCCCGTCCGGTTTCCAGGTCGCTCCTCCTGGACGGGGGCATAGGGCGCTGGGGTAATATCCTCGGAGTCCTCCTCGTCGGAGCTGAACCCGAGGTCCTTCCGGAGAGCGCGGGAAGGACTCGGTGGACATGGCGTGGCATCGATGCGTCTTCGATGTTCGCCCAATTGAGGGCCTCGACTTCAACCAGAGAACTCCGCCCTTCCCCATGACCTTTACAGGGACTTCCCTATCCAAACCGAGAGCTGCTCACCACGACCGAGACGCCCGGGCGCACCATATGAAGGTGCTCGCGGAACTCTGGTACGGCGTGCCGTGCTACGGAGCGAGGCGGGAACAAGTCGGCGCAGCGGTCGGTGATTCTTCGGCTGGAAGGAGTGGAGAGTGAGCTAGGCTATTGGCGTTTCGTATTTCTCGTTGAGCGAAGATGCAAGATCTATGTGCTATGCCATGGTGTGCAAATGGTAGGCCGTGCAGACATGTCGGAGAAACTCTAACACTTCTGTTAGGGCGGACGTGTCGGACATGGATCTTGAACTCTGAGCAGCGAACTTTGAGCCAAGCAGGAGGAGTCTCAGGGCCAATCACCGGGCTCGCAGTCTCACAGGCCAGGTTGGCGGGCCGAGGGGTACGGTGCTTTACAGGGGATGGCGCCTCATTTGCGCACACATAATTCCCCTCAAATCCGCACACAGACTTTTTTATATTATATTTAACTCAAGTGCGCACACATGATTCGCCTCATCTGCGCACACATCGATTACATTCCTCTTTAAACAGCCCATGTTACCCCAAACTCAAATGCGCACACATGATTCGCCTCATTTGCGCACACACAAATTGAGTCATGATGATCTCTTTTTGCTCATTGCTTCGTTTGATTGATGATGTGTTAATAACGTCCCTCTGGACATTCATCTAATTCATTCATTCATTCATTCATTCATTCATTTTTTCAGCCGTGTAAGCCGCGTGTACAGCCGAGGAAGCCGCGTGTACATCCGAGTTTCGCGTGCACAAACGAGATCAATTCTCCGCGTGTACATTCGAGGGAAATTCCGCGTGTACAGACGAGGCTCCGCCCCTTTACAGGTGCCCACTTGGTCGTTTCATTGACGCGTCAAATCTGTAGAATACGTTATGATACCTCAACTCTGAACAATCACAAGGACATATGGACAGTGGTTGGAGGGGCTCGGGGCTCACTTCTGGTTCTCTCTTGAACCTTTTTCACAGCTGGTCTTTCAGTCTGAGCGCATCCGCTCGACCTGAAGATGCGATCAAAACGGATCCGAAAGGCGTCCCTGCTCATAGCTCGTCCTGCAGTTTCCAAGATCATTGGCGTTCCTACCGGGTCCTACCGTCCTATCATGTCCTATCCCTTATAAATGACACTTGATTCCTCGCCACACAAAATAGCGCCAGCAGCCACTCATTTGTCATCTGAACACCTGCAGGCTGTACAGTGTGGTGCAAGGGCAACATCGCTCCATACAGCAAGTTAGTTGCCAGCTGCACCGTTGAAAGTATCAAGGCCCTGTGAAAGCAGGACCTTGCTGTACTTAGTACTTGGGGGTTGCTTGAGAACAAGGTCAAGAACCAACGAAAACACCAAGGACCTTGAGGTCCCCAACGTTCACAGCAATTAAACATAGTGTAGAACGATGGGGGCAAATGTCTTTCAAACCAGCATGCGATCCGCACAAGAACAGGTCTGAAGACCTGCACAAGCAAACTAATTAGTGAGTTTGGAGCCGAGCAGCAAGCGCGCTAGACACATGCACAAGCAGCGCATCCCAAGCAAGGAAGTTTTTGGCGGTAGATGCTCTACTGCATCTTCCTGCCACATTTTTTGTGGTGCTCTGCCGATTCTCGAACTTCCTCTTCTGCAAGGCACCTTTGGGACAAAGATGGCAATGCTGGCACTCAGCTCCCCTGGTACAGCTGCCGGGGCGCCAAAACCAGGCGCAAGGTTTGCACAGGCCATGCTCATGTAGAGCCGATCCAATTGACCAGCTCCGCATATCGGCCCTTTTCATCTTGCTGGGCCAAATAGACCTGCCTCCTTCCAAGCCATCATCATCAGCGGAAACGCCGATGCTGCTGCAAGTGCTCAACCGGTCTTCGCTCCTGCCACTCGTGCTCGGGGTGTCATCTCTACAGGAAGCATGCATAAGACCTGGTGGGACTCTTTTAGGGACATCTCCACCAAATGTTTGCTGGCCGGAGCCAGCAGCTTCGACTTTTGCAAGTAGGTCAGGGGCACTTGCACTTTTCGGGACCCCCTTGACTGGGACGTATTCAAGGAAAGTGAATCGCTCAGCCAAGCGAAACTCCATGATTTCTTCAGAGTCAATGCCATCCTTCCGACACATGGCGTCAGACAGGATCTGTTCTCTACCCTCAAAGCCGTATCACTTGCGGTTTGATCTGGCAAATGCCTGCCTTCCTCACACAAAGCATCAGCATGCCCAGGATTGGCCATGCATTCATTAGCACCTGATGAATTTATTGTTGAAATTGGCTTGCAAGATTCTGCTTGAGACACCTTGCTCTCGTTAGAAGATTAAGCCCTCCGCCAATGTCGGTGGCCGGGCAGCCGTGACCTCACAAGCACTTCGATGGAGCTTCAGAAATGAGACGTGCACTGTGCACATCACAACGGCTCATCCGGTGGTTTCAACTCACTTGAAACAATGAGGCAAAGGTTCCAAAACACTCACCGTCAAGAACCGGTTGGGAAACCTGGCTGTTCAGGAAGAGATGTCTAAACAAAACCGTGATTTAGACGTGTTTTCTCCGTCAGCGCAATCTCAGCAAGGCTGAGGGATGAGTCAATAAGGGCCACACACACGGCTCGAAAAGCAGTGATCCCTTACAACTAAAACCTCTACAGTATCAGCAAGCATTCGATCCCCTCTCTCGGCCTCTCACTCTTTTGGATTGTCCAAGCTCTGTGTTGCTGTTCTGTTGCCTTTTCTTGCGTGGTGCTTCCGTCAAGTTAGATCCAGCTTCAAAAGGACACAAAGGGGTTGGCATTAATGGTCTGAAAACAAAAAATACACATTGAACCAAAAAAAAATCCCGGCATATTTCTGGGGTGAGGTCAGGCCCTACAAAATGACTGGCTGGCAGCAAATATATACTACAGTGAGCACTACAGAAGACTTATGCAAAATGCTTGTCGCAACGTCGCAACCTGGTCCTGTCAAGTGGAATGCTTTGCACCAGCGGAATTTCTTGACTTTAAGCCCGATGCAATGCATTTCTGCAAAATTTTGTTGTAAGAACCCTCGCCCCCCGAAAGCCAATCGGAGTCTCAACGGACAACTCCGATCAAAGGCATCCTCGTTTGCCAACATTGCGACATGGGATGTCATCACTTGCGACATGATGAAACCGTTTCATGCTTGTGTTTTTTGGTCTTGCATTGCAATGCAATCACTTCACTTACATCATATACCGAAAACACGAGGTCATCTTGTTTGAGTCTTGACTAGTTATGCCTTTAATATTTCCTAGATGTTCTGGAATGTCATGACTTACAAAATTTTGAACAAGGTCATGTTGTATGATTCTTTTCAATGGCGTTTCTTGAGCATTTGAGGTGGTTCTATTATATAACTCTTTGGAATGTTTTTTCTTAAACGTTTTTTTGAATGATTGTTTTAACAAAATGTGGACAATAGTGGGCATAAGGCATGAGCAGTGTTGTTGGCTCTTCACGTGCTTACTCTGTAAGAATCTTCTTTGCGCTTGCGGGCAAGGCTCCCGTTTAGGGCCTCAATACCATGTGTTATTACAATGACAGAACAACAAGGTCACGCCCGCTGCAACGGCCCTGCGCGAGTTGCGCGTTCTCCCATGCATCTTCGAGTCGTTTTTCACAACCTCTCTGGCACTTTATGGCGGTGCCTTTTTTGCTCAATGTCAGTTTATCTGTGTTTTTACACCGTAAAACGCCTCTCCAATCGTAACTCCATTGTGAAATGACAGTTCGTTCGGGGACCCGGAAGTAGAAAAACATATATTTATATAATCGTTTCTCTTTTAAATTCATGAAACATTAACACACTTCCACTCCTTCAGGCGTGCCACTCCTTTTCAGGCGTTCCACTCCTTCTGTGCCATCTGACCCAACTTCTGCAGTTGGTGCTTCGACGGTGTATTGCAGTGCCACACAAAGCTATACATCTATTCTTGGATCTGTGCATTCAACCCGCCATTGGATGGTTTGGATGCCAACTCTTTCGGGATAAACTTCTTCAGGGATGACCATTTGCGGTCAATACATTGGGCGCCATGCGTTTTGGGACCACGCGCTTTGCGCGTAAACTCCATCTTCACATGCTTCACTTGGAAGCATTTGCGCTTCAAAACTTTGGCTGGCTGGCCCAAGACTTGTTTCCGTCCCCAACGTAGCATCAACTTGGTTCGCAAGTGCAAGCGAACGTTAACAGACCCCACCCCACCCCATCCCCAACGTGGCATCAACTTGGTTTGCAAGTGCAAGCGAACGTTAACAGACCCCACCCCATCCCCAACGTGGCATCAACTTGGTTTGCAAGTGCAAGCGAACGTTAACAGACCCCACTCCATCCCCATCCCACCCCATCCCCAACGTAGCATCAACTTGGTTTGCAAGTGCAAGCGAACGTTAACAGACCCCACCCCATCCCCACCCCACCCCATCCCCAACGTAGTATCAACTTGGTTAATGGTGAAAACGTTGAAATTCTCCGGGGTCGTTAGGGGGGGGCGTGAGCAACAACAAACCAACACAAAACCCTGAAATGGAACCTATGGAAGGTAATTCAGCGGCCACGACTTACTAGGGCGAGTTAGAACATTCCTGGAACACACTGACGATCAACATCCTGCACTGCTTTTGGTGGAAACATGTCCCGGCTGGTGCAGCATGCATCTTTCTGATCCAACTTTCACAAGCAACTCCAGACTCCAGACTCCTTGTGACTCACCACCTCAGGGATTTCGACTGGAAATCCAAGTGGACGAAACGTCATAGAGGAATCTGGACACCCCCCATTCAATTCCAGCCAACCATGAGAGTTACAGTGACAGTTGTGGACTTCATCCTGCTCTACGCCGTTTGTGAAGACCAAAACGTTGATCCAAAGCGAAGGACGGGACGGACCTGCAATGCCCCACCCCAGTTTTCCATCCTAACAGGCTGTGGTCAGTGAACGCACTGCCTATATATAATGTCTTTATAGTTTATAGGCAGGCCATTGCAGTGTTCATCTCTTAGGTGTTGTCGTCCTTCCTCACCGTTTCCCTTCCTTCTCAGCTTCCGGGCATTGCTCTCGTCCAGTCGAGTCGACGTCGTGTTGCATGGGGCGCGACATGGCGCAACATCTCGAGACTCACCTGACCACGCCCACACGAGATGTCACAATCATCTTCTATCATCTTCGATGTTTCTTTCCACCAGAATGGGCCGAGAGCTCAACTCCGCTCATTTGTCAACATCTGCCGACTGTACAGTGTGGTGCAAGGGCAACATCGCTCCATACAGCAAGTTAGTTGCCAGCTGCACGTCGAATGGATCAAGGCCCTGTGAAAGCAGGACCTTGCTGTACTTAGTACTTGGGGGTTGCTTGAGAACAAGGTCAAGAACCAACGAATACACCAAGCACCTTGAGGTTCCCAACGTTAACAGCAATCAAACATTGCGTAGAACGATGGGGGCAAATGTCTTTCAAACCAGCATGCGATCCGCATCGGACAAAAGCTTCGCACAACAAAAGGTTTGACGACCTATACAGGCGAATTACAGAGCCCACTTGAAGCTGAGCAGCAAGTGCGGTAGACACATGCACAAGCGTGTTGTTCTTCTTCTCCAGTGGTTCAAGATGTCGCACAGCTGCTTCCAGAATCGGCAGCTTTGGCATCATGATGAACAATTGGACGTCGCGAAGGTCATCGATTCAAGTGAGGGCCAAGCAACTGGATAGAAGCGAAAACAAGCGACACGGGCCTCATGGGGCGTGTCATGTTGGTGGCTGGGGGTGGGGCAGCCAGTTGCTCATTTGCCATCGAAGGGTTGCTGCCACGGCGATAGGCTTTGGCCAATTGCCGATTCTCGAACTTCCTCTTCTGCAAAGCACCTTTGGGGCAAAGATGGCAATGCTGGCACTCAGCTCCGTTCGTACAGCTGCCGGGACGCCAAAACCAGGCGCAAGGTTTGCACAGGCCATGCTCATGCAGAGCCGATCCAATTGACCAGCTCGGCGTATCAGCCCTTTTCATCTTCTTGGGCCGACTGGACCTGCCCTCTGTTCCCAGGACTGCTTCCAAACCACCATCAGTCTGGTAAATGCCTGTGCTGCTGCAAGTGCTCAACTGGTCTGCGCACCTGCTGCTCGTGTTTGGGGTGCCATCTATACAGGATGCATGCACAAGACCTGGTGGGACTCTTTTAGGGACATCTCCACCAGATGTTTGCTGGCCGGAGCCAGCAACTTCGATTTTCGCAAGTAGGTCAGGTGCACTTGCATTTTTCGGGACCCCCTTGACTGGGACGTATTCAAGGAAAGTGAATCGCTCAGCCAAGCGAAACTCCATGATTTCTTCAGAGTCAATGCCATCCTTCCGACACATGGCGTCAGAAAGGATCTGTTCTCTACCCTCAAAACCTTATCACTTGCGGCTTGATCTGGCAAATGCCTTGTTGGTAGAAAGCATCAGCAAATTAAGAATCAAAGCAGACTTGCTTCAGGCGTTCATTGGACAATGCTGAATTTCAGTGCAGAAATTCTGGCACCATTCGACCTGACGACCTCGTTTTCACACCAATCAGCCACCAATCAGAACACCACTAATTGCGCCACCACGGCCGCCACCTCGTCAAGGCCATGACCTCAGGCCGGGCGATGTGGGGCCCGAACCAAATTGAAAAGCCCGACCTAACAAGGAGAGACCAGGGCCCCAGGGGAGACCAAAGGAAGTTCCAACAAAGGTGAAGTGATCTTATAGGACCCTACTGGGGTTCTTCAACCTCTGCTGGTTGTCGGTGGTATTGAATACGTGTTGATACGTGTTGACACATGAGGCCCACAAACGCAAACAGTGCGGCATCAAGCGTTACCCACTCAAGTCCCCGGGAGCAGGAAACAAGGGGAGGTTCACACCATTGACTGAAGACATGAACAATGCGAGGAGAGATGGTAGAGCAGCCATTTGCTGTAAACGTGTTGTTTCCTCGCGGACAATGCATGAGGTGCAGGCCAAATACAATTGAACAAGGCAGCGGCGACATACAGGACATATCGGGAAATATGAGGAAATGCCGAAGCTGCAGCAACCGGGGGCGAGTCACAAAGACTGATGAAACTCGGAGCAGCCGCAAGACTGCTAACGTCTGGCAACAGTTCAGTTGGGGCCGATGCAGCGAGAGCGGTCCGTGGGCGATGATGGCTTCGGTGAGGAAAGGAGATGCAGGACAATGAGGCAATGTGGAGTTGAGGATGCCAAAGAAGTGAAGGAGTTGAGGCAAGCTATACCGAAGAAAACAATAAGGAAGAACGAGTTGGAGGAGAATGAGAAAGTGAGGACAAAGGACTATGAAAGAGGAGTAGGGAACAATGCAGGACAAGAAGGGCAAAGTTGAGTCTTCTCAAAATGCAGGAGCCCTTCCAGGGCTGCGGGAACACTTGGAAACATGTGGCGAGAGAGGCAGAGGGGCTGCCCCGAACACTTCAAAACATTTAGGTCAAAGATACTGATACTCATACATTACCATCCTTTGAATCGGACAAATGAACGTTAATCATGTGTATTAATCAATTTGTGCGCGGCCGAGTGCTGCTACATGAAACAAATTAGTGTCAACATGGGTGGTCCTCTGAATCCACCTTGACTCCCCAAGGTCAGATTAGGTCGACCCGTTGACTCCATCCCTCTCAGGGACCAGTGAAGCAAACATGCCGAAGCTAACCCGAAACCCTATATACAGGTGTGCTGTTTGTGAGTGCGTGGGGAAATCACATAGTAGATGGTGCCCCCGCCTAGCCCTGGCCCAGCGCTCTTTGGACTTCGGCTTTCAGGGAAGGACCCCCGGAGAGCTTCTCTCCTCGCTGACGGTGAGAACACGATCTCTGATCGGTGTTCTTCCCAAACTTAAATGCTCTATTATCTTCTCAACCATGCACTTTACAGAATGGCAATTTGGGCACTGTCCTATTACTCAATGGCAGGCCCAAAGTACGGAAAAGAATGATCAAGAATTGCTGCTCTCACACGTAAGCGACAAGCAAGGCGACGTTCGTGGCCCGAGCATCATGTACCAGCCCAAAGCGTCCAAATGGACCTAATTAATTACTATACAGTCAGCGCTGCATGCAAGATTTGAGCTTCAGCGC